ATGAAATGTCCAGATTACAATACAGTTTCTTTCAGAGGAATAACGGGGCTTAAAAATCATTCCAAATCTTGTACCATTAAAAACACAGAATATGCATAATGTGTCAGTACCAAAAGCAGTTGTCATACACAAAGGACACCAACAGGTCAACGCAGATTTGTTGTAAATATAAAATGCATAAACTGTAGGATTAAGGTAAGAACAAAAATCGAAGAAGCAACAATGGTCATACTCATGGAATTTAACATGTACTCACCTATCACCAATATATTTTCCTTGGCAAAAATAACTGACGAATAATTCATCTACAAGAGCATTTTGTTTATCGTAGCCTTGGTGTCCGGCAAGTGTTATGAGCCTATGGCTGTCCATTGTATTCCCGCTGCATTACAATCTTTAAGTCAGTGCACTGAAGACCCATACACATGATGCAGGTGTATGGAACAGTTTAGAACCAATTCACTTACGTGAGTCCTGACATGTCATATTCAAAGCCAAGTCCTCGGAACATCTGCAAAAGTAGGATGGCAACAGCTAAGTACACATTATATGCCATGTGAATAAATAACATGGTCAAGTTGAATGAGAGGACCTCTCTCATGCGAGCAGTTGCACGCTCAAACTGCACAGGGCCAAACTTGGTCTTGTAGAAATCAGATTTCTTGACACCTTCCTTAGGTGCATCAGGGTTCAGAAAAAATGGATGCCAACGAACCTATAAAGCAGAGACAGTCACACTAGCATAACACTGTGCTGATACGAACTGTGAAGTTAGATCATGGTAGTGATTTATTGAAGTGAAACCTCGAAATCGAACTTGTCCATGGTTTGTTCCATAGCTTTCTCAAGATTCTTTTTCCCAACAAAGCACCAAGGGCACACTGTATCCGAGCTCACATCGATCTGAATGAGCTTCTTGCCAGTATTTGAAGCCATATGTTTAGCAAATCTACAATTGAACAAAGAAGTTATTGTCAAATTGGCTCGTAATTGGCCTCCGAGAAAGCACTGACAGATTAGTCCACTTCAAAAAATGTGAATCTTTGAGGGGTATTTTCTTTCAAGAGAAAAGCTGAATTTCTGAAAGCTGAGAAGGTGCAAAAGCATTGCCAGGGCTTTGTTTCAGTACTCTTCCTGAAGAAGGCATTTTGACTCCTGAAGAAAGCTATAATTCACTTTGCCTAGGATCCAAACACCCCTGACCAGAGACAGTCATACATATGTCAAAATAATGGATTGATCGCAGCTTTGCAAGTTTTTCTGGATTATTGCTCGGTTTTAAACCACCGAAAGTGATCTTGTGAAAAGAAAAACAATGCAGTTTGTTACAGTGCATATTTTCGCTAGCCACTTAAAACTAATACTCCTTCTTTTAAGATTTCCATTCTACGAATCCCTTCTTGGGCATCCGATGGCAATCGAATGGGAAATGGGGATTTATCACCACACTCGTTTCACTTATTGAAATCTAATTGACCATCGCTCCAATTAGACCTCAATGGCGTTCTCCCCACCCAGTGCAGCTGCCGGGAAAAAAATCCGAGCTACAGTTTCAAGGCAAATCGCACTCCACTTTTCGCATCCTCAAGTAACAACAACCAGGAATTGCGCTTCGCCTGGAGGCGGAGTTCTTGCATCACCCAACCATGCCGTCCCCAAAGAAAGTACAGTCGCTTTTTTTTTCTTGGAGCAAATCCGCATGATGATTAACCGGAAAGAGACAAGTACTACTGCATACATAATACAGTATGAAAGAAGATGGAGAGGATTCTGAACCTGAGAGCTGTGGGCTTGGTGAGGAAGGGGGCGCGGATGGGGAGTTGGCGACTTGGCATACAAGTGAGAAAAAAATCTGCCCCTTCACTTGTGATCTGGGTATTGGTATCTGTTCGCGAGGCGAGGGGGAGGTGGCGGTAGGTGGGCAGAAAGAATAGGGAGGGTTGGCGTTGTTTGCTCGTGGACTTTTGTGTGCTTGGGAAGAGTTCCACTCCACGTCGTGGCTTTGAGCGGTAAACACGTGTTTGGCTCTCAAGCCAGCTCCAGAATCAGATTAGTGAGAGGTTGTTGTGAAATATCAACTAGTACACTTCTTTTTTCTCAATTTTTTTCCTACCAATTTTCTTTGCTCGCCTGTCTGTTCTTTCCTCATTTTTTTTCTTAAAAGGACTGAGATCTATAAAGGTTCATCAGAAATACAACGCATTTCAAACATGATAATAATTACAATGAGGATCATGCACCACAGAATGACCATTATCGCCATCAGAACGAGCCGCCGATGTGCCGCCGCCGTCGCTCTCATACCGAAACCGCCCTAACCTTGTTGATGATAACAGGAAAGTCTTTGTGCACGTGTTTGAGCTGTAGTCGTCGTCGTCGTCGTTTAACAATTGAATCGATCTGAAGAACCTGACATCAAATCTAGTCGTCACGTACCCATGATGAGAAAATCTAACCTCGCCTCGCCGCCCCGAGGAGCTGACATGAATATACAGCAGAGCTCCGTCTAATCCATCTCTACTAATGAACTTGAGAAGGATCGGAGCCTGGAAAATTGACTCGAATAAGAAGAGCCACCATCCACCGCCGCCTCTATGAGTATTAAAACCCTAAGCTATCTACTAGACGGAGCCGTGGCGAATTCATTGGTTTGCTGACGAAGATCGAGAGGAGGAAGGCTTTGCGTGAGAGTGGAAAGAAATTCGATTTTGACTCAAAAAGTCCTATTTTGATCCTGAGCTCAAATGCTCCGCGATGAATAGTAAAATCGACAAAATAGTAAAAACAATAAAAAAAACTGAAAAATTCTGTGGTAAATTTTGACAAATTTTTGTATGCTTTCAAAATTTGAGCACGAAATGATATTCGTGAAAGGCGTGGCAAAAAAGACAAAATCAGCACTTCAATTTTTTTTCAAAACTTGCATTTTTGGAGCATCGATTTTTTTCCCACGACTTCCACGGATGTCATTTTGTGCTGAAAATTTGTAGGCATACAAAACATTTATCAAAGTTTACCACAAAAAAATTAGATTATTTTGATTATTTTACTATTTTTTTCCGGTTTACTGTTCATTAGGGAGCATTTGAGCTTGGAAACATATAGTTCATATCCATTTTGTCTCAACTTGTTTTATTTTTGACAGTTCAGTTCATTTTCTCATATTGATGATCATTCCTACAAAATTGTTAATTCATAGCTTATTAGCCTAACTTGATGGTTTGCAAGTGCTTTTATAATTCAATGAAGCCGTTGTTAGCCAAACATTTGTCCATGGGTTATGAAAACATGATGGGTAAATTGAGTTATTGAAACAAAATTAAACGGTAGACATATTCGAATTCTCAACACATAAGATGATGCACTCTCTTTCTTTCTTTCCAGTCTACATATAAAATTTGATTTAAGTCACACTTTGTAAAGTTTGATTGACTTTTATACGAAAAAATATCAACATTCACAATATGAAATCAATATTATTAGATGCACCATGAAAATTAATTTGCATACTATATAGCTTCAGTATTGTAGATGTTGATATTTTTTAATATAAATTTGGTCAAACTTTGCGTAATTTGACTTCAAAAAAATCTTATATGCGGAACATAGGGAGTTTATTGACTTCTCGACGCAAAAGGCACACAAAAGATGAAGTACATTAAACCAGCGAAATTCCCCTAAAGATCTTGGATGACTCACCAAAGCACAAAAGATAGTTAGAAAAAAATCGTATGTGAAAATAAGTTCCACGCAATTGGGCCATCCTAGACATGAAACTAGAAACTTAGCCACTCACTCCCGAGCTAAATTTTCTCTTCTCATCCATCCA